CCTACCTTGAAGGCGATCGGCAGAGTCTTGTTGCATCTCCAGTGGGTCGGCAGGACAGAGCAGAGGAAGTTGGGGCTGTCGGTGCGGACCAGTTCGCCCGGATGATCGGCTAAGACATCCACCATGCTGCGATCTGCGTTTCTCAGCTTCCCCACCAGGGCGCTGCTGCCATTCTCTGGGCCGACCAGCGGCAGCGTGTCGCTCATCTTGCCCGGGCTCAGAGTGGTGGAGGGCGGCGTGAAGCGGCGGCTGGTGCTGGTATCTACGGGGATACGCATCACAACAAGCCTTTTGAGTGAAAAGGGTCCTCAGAGGGCTTCGGATAAAGCGATACGAGCGCAACTCTTCAGCCGGCGGCTCTTGGGCGACCCACATACAAAGAAAGAGGCTTAGGGCCCCGGTGCAAAAGGGACCACTGAAGTGAAGCCAGTCCAGGAGTGAATTTGGACCAGTTGGACAGAGCAGGGGAACGCCGCGCCTCCTGGTCCTGCCAGAATTAACCCAAGCATCCAGTTTCAGGCCGCTCTTCTCTGGAAATCTATGTGTGCTCTTTAAAAACGGCCTTATAGATGTGGACAAGTTTCTCTCCTCTCCACCCCCTTGGGGAATTACCAGTGTTATTAAAATCAAAGGTCCTTCCGAATCCCACACACTGAGAGACGTTTTGAGCAGAGGAAATGTTCAAAACAAAACACCCCCCACCACGCACACACACAGACGAAAGGAGGGAAGGACCTAAACTTTTCAGTAGTTAATTTCCTATCATTTTTCGAAGATCACATTCTTCCCCTCCCGCTGCGCCTAAAGGCTGTCTAGAATTCAGATCAACGCATCAGTCTCTTCTCGCAAACATGGAGGAGGAAGAAAAGCAGTTTAAAAGAAACTAGGGAAACAGGCTGCAAAGGACGTGAGCTGAGGTTTTCAAAGGTCAACCGGCTACCACAGCATTATATAGTGTACTTCATCAAATATTTACAGCTGATTCTATAGAGAATTTAAACAGAACAGAACTCCATTAACGTTCTCCTGCAGAGCCCTTTTTCCCGCTGCCAGAGCAGCCTTGAACCCCAGTGTCAGTGGTGTGCCTCGCGTTGCTCTTAAGTCTTGCTGTCCCGGTTTCGCAATGCTTTGACTAAATTACTTAGGGAGGCTGCGTGAATTCAAAAGACTCTTGTACAAGTCCTCGGATGTCGTGTGCCAATAATCTGAAACGCGCCCGGGGGGAGGGAGGGAGAGAAACCCCTTTGGGTTGGAGTTGCTGGTTGGGTTGTGGGTTCCTTCTGTGGTTAATGTTCGCAGCAACTTTAGAAGACACGCGTCTGAAGTCACCCAACACTCTGTGGCCGCTGCGTGACTCACTGCCAACTCTGGGGGAAAATATCTGAAGCAATATTCCTCCAATTCACCCACAGGGGCCGGCTTCTCAGCTATGGTTTAACCACAGGCAGGTGGAGCTCTGGTTTCGGGACCGCCGTTGGCTTTTCCCTCATTTCTCCGTCCTCCCTTCGCGCTCTCTCCTTCAACTTCACAAATAGCTCGTCAACACGAGGCTGAGTGGTGAAAGTCTGCCCAGTCGAGTTTCTTCTCCCAAACAGGGCCAGCAGCGCCCGCGACAGTCAGTCAACACAAAACGCCGTTCCGCAGCCAAAAGCAAAACAAGCCCCCCCGAAATACGAATCGGCCAAACACCAGAGCTTGCTCCCGGCGGGATACGCGTCCCCAAAGCAGAAAAAGTGTTCACGTGTTCACCAGACTCCAACGGCAAGCTTTCCCGAGGGCTGCTGCCTGTACAGGCCAGTCTCTCCAGCTGTGGGTGACCTTCTGCGAGGCGCTGTTTGTTTGCTCATGCTGATCTGAAGAAAGCCTGGCTCCCCCTCCTCCCTCTCCCTCTCCCTCGCGCCTTCTGGCCCTATGAATGGAGATGACTGGAAATGAATTTGCTGTTACAGTAAGAGAGTCCGGAGGAATGTCATTCCCTCAGCTCTTTTGCATAGGGGAGGACGCCACCCAATCAGAGCGCTTTCCGGTATTAATCAGGGCGCGGCTCCAACCCGCGGGGCTCCTGGAATTGGCTTGCGCGCCGCCGCGAAAGCTACTGTAAAAAGCCCAAAACAGGCCCCGCGTGTCAACGGGACGCCGCGGTCAACGGGAGGCTTGGACCAAAACGTGTGTGGTGGTGGCTGCGCTTGTGTCGAGCCTGTGGCTGCGAAAGGTGGAGGCAGAAGCGCGCGTGTACTCCTCCTCCCCCTGCGCGCGGGTCCTCGAGGGATCAATAAAAGGTCGCGAAAGTAGCACTTAAGGAGCTCAGTCATTTGAACGATATGACGAACAAGCGCGCACCGCCCAAGGCAGGTCCCCTCAGAGTCGACGGTCATGCAGAATCTCCTCGGAGGCTTTCTAAGTGGAGTTACAGGCCAGTCCCACTCCGTGACTGAGTTGCTTCGTTCCCCATAACTGCCAGAGCTAAGAGAAAAGGAAGCGCGCCTGGCTGGAAGCTTACGCGTTTATGCCTATAGATGTGTATCTATCTGTATCAAGCAGCCCTTCTCTCTGCCTGCGAGAGCATCAGGTGGTAAAAACTGAAAAGAAAGGAGATAGGTCGCCCCAGGAAGAGGGTGCCTCTTCTCTTCCTTTCTTCCCAAGCCGTTTTGTTTTGGCTTGATCAGCTATATAAAAACCAAGGAAATTAATCTGTGAGGCTGGGCAGTTCAGGGTGGTAGGGAAGATTCACCTGCTGTATTTCTTCCTGCTATGCAGTTCCTACAAGTAATAGCAAGCCCCTTTAAGAGGGGCAACTGCACACTCTTCCTATGTACAGAGAGAGCTAAAGAATGTAGATAGAGTAGATTTCTACTCATTTCAGGATCCTGCTGAAGATACAAACTCCCACTTTGCATCTTCACATCTCTGGAGATTATGGCTCATCCTCAAGTCTCCCTGACTATAATATGAATGAGCTCTGGCATTTTTTTTAAAAAATGCCATGTCCCAATGGCATTTATCTTATCCCCAGCCCACAGCTGAAGCATCTTAAAGTTGCCTATAGCTGTTCCAATTTTAAAAATTGTGCCTTTCCTCTTCTCATGACACAGTTTTTGCCATGGATATAATCTAGCATGCTTCATCAACAGTCTTATTGCTGATGTGGTCATACTGAGATCTGCCCAGTTCCTACTGGCCAGTTTAGACTGCTGTGGGCACTCCCCTGCCTCTCTGATCACTGAGATCTGCTCTCCATGGTCATTTTAGCTTGGTATGGGGGAGAGACCAGGGAACTGACTTTGTCAGAAACATCTGCCCATCTAATGCTTGACTGGGACTTTCCAGTGCCCTTTTCAGATCTTATATGGACGCTTTATAAACAAGAGTTTAGACCTCTTTTGAAAAAGTGCTAGACCTTTGTTAAAAGAAACAAACAAAGCAGTGCTTTCTTGAAGTGTGCTTGTCCTGCATGCTGCATTGGTTGATTCAAATGAGAAAAGAAAGTTAGGTTTTAACAGCTGTGTGGTTGATTCTGTCACCATTGGTATTGCCATTCCCTTGCTCACTATGGATTGATCTCTCCTGTTTTACCCCATGTCCTCCTTCAAACCTGCAACTTGCCATCTCGGTTATTTTGGGGCATGGCTTTAGCATTTTAGAAGAGCATTAAAGACATGTTCAGAAGTAGCCTCATAGTGCATCTTCTTCACATCTGTGACCTGTGGCTAAGCTTTCTCTTATACTTACCCAACTCAGTTCCACCTCACCTTAGGCAGAAAGATTGGTGGTTGTTTCCCTGCCACAGGTGATGTTTGGAAGATGGGAAAATAAAACTGGGGAAATTTACCAATCACTTCCCTTGATTTGCCCTGATTAGAGCATGGCAATCAGTGCAGCAAATTTCATGCCAACATACCTTTCTGCATGCTGAAGGATGATGGACATCACTTTAATGCAGCGGTCTGGCTGTGCCATATGTCCAAATGCTATGTAATTACCCCACTACATTCTGTGTTCCTTTGGAGGCATTAAAAAATGCCTTGGAAAATTTGATCAGAAGCTGTAATCACTGAGACATATTGTAGCTCAGTTATAAAGATAATGGTGTTTTCTTAATTTTTCAGAAAAGCAGGCCTCATTCCAAAAGCTTTTGGCCCAGGACAGACAGTCATAGGTTGTAGTTACTTTTTCCTGCCCTTCTCCCTTTTCAGAACATTGGGAACCAAAGTTCAACATAAGGTGTTCCTGGGCTGAGCTCTAGTTTTAGGAAAGAATATTTGATCTTCCTAGGATATCCCTCTATTCTGTATCTTAAAGTACAGAAGCCCATAGCACTACCTGGTTGCCAGCTGTCAGTGAAAAATACATTGCAGGGTAGCAAATAGGAAGTTGTACATAGAGACCTGAGGAGCTGAGAAATGCAGGAAATTACCAAAAACAGCTCAGAATGTGAATCTAGGTTTCCCAATAAGGAGGATTACATCCATTCAAAATTTGTCTTATGGTGCCAATTTATTGTTTCTGCAGCATGGCAGTTGTACATTGTTTGACTCTACAGTTTTTCAAGGTTTTTTATTTTAGATTTTTTTCCCTTGACAGTTCTTCTTGACACAGATAATAATAATTAGGGCGAGGACTTCCAGGTGGGGAAAATGGTGGACACATATTGTAATAGCAAGAACCACCTTTTTGGTTCATCCAAATGAGTTCATTATTGCTGAATCCTGGCCTTTGAGAGGCAGTTTTTTTTGTTCCTATAATATGCTGAAGGACATTTTTAAACATTATAGAATTCTTGGACTGCCATTTATCTATGTCCTGATGTCATATATCAGTGAGAGTTTATAGCCTGGTGAACACAGACCTCTGGATCAGAAATATATTATTTTTACCATTCTTTTTTAGAGTACATACGGCTGATTTCCTCACTGATCAAATTCACCATTATCCTTCAGCCTAGCCTCTATTCCACAGGATTATGTTCTCACAACCTATTAAAGGGAAAAACCTTCAACAATGAAAGTGAACATGGTGTCATTTATACTACCACCCACCATGCCACTTTTTACTGAACGTATCAGATTCTTAATGTTCTGTGGATTCAAAATAGATGCTGTTTTGGGTGCATGCTATACTTTAGTTGATGTAGGTTGCACAATCTAGGCTAAAGGGATCCAATATGCTGTCCATTTTGACTTCACACAAAATGATCCTTCAAAACCTTGGGTAAAATGTGGTGGGCAGGAGCTAAACATGGCATGTGTACACTATCATTATCAAACATCTTCCTCTCAGTGTGCTATGTGAAAATAGCCAGGTTGTTGCATGGATAACCTTACAAAACTCACAGGTACATATATAGCACAAAGGTCTCTGAAGGAAGAGTTAGAAAATCATCATAATGATTTCCCATACAAATGATGTGATCATACAGCAGATGTTATATGCACAGAAAATTCCTGAATCAGTTCTGGAATCCTAAATTGGAAGGATCTGGAATTACAATATGTTAACTGTCTAAAGTATTACTAGAATAAATAATATTGTAAAGATAAACAAATAATGTCATTCTAGTCTTTTTGTTTATAGGACTAATGAAGTGAAGTACTGTAGTACTATAAAGCCTACATATCTTAATATAGTTGTTCCAAACAAATGTCTCAGCTGAAACTGCACACATGCACATAGTTACTAGTCTCTTTTGGAAATACTGAAAATTTGGTTGAGGGCATTTTCTAATTGAAATAAGTGATACTAAGGGCAAATTACAATAGGAGGCAGCTTAGCACTCACTTCTTTGCCAGAAAGGAAGGGTTATATACAGCCTACTATGGCCCTCATCAACCACTATGGGGCTTCAGGATCTGCTGCAGTATAAATGGGCACACTTATTGGGGATGATGGAAGTGATAGTCCACGTGTGGAAGCCAGCGAATTGGTAGAGTCAGGCCAATTGCCTTTGTTCCTCTTATTTCTTTTATGGCAAATCCTGTTAGATTTGGCATATTGTCCAAATGACTCATGGTTGTATCCACAGTAAGTAATCACTAATCAGTAATGTGACCCTCAATGGGAGTAGCATTTACATAAAACAGAAAGTATTTTGTTTCATAAATGAATGACATCATTCAATGAATAATGGCATAATAATCATTTTTACAGAGGATTAACAAGGGAAGGGAACAAGGGAAACACAGTCCTGCAAAACTGGATGGAGTCTATGGGAAAAAATTGTTCTGTTGAAACCTATTTCTTGCCACTTTATATTACACCAGTCTACAAAACACTTCAACATTTATTGTTTATTTATTTTAAATTTATTGACTGCCTAACTCCAGGGGCTGTGGCCCACTAAAGCGTATACTATAAAATGCATTTTAGTCTGATCCTGTGGGTGTGTCTGTGGTGCAACAAACTAACTTTTTTGGAAACCAAAAACCACCACTAACTCAGTCTCTCAGACTCTCATCTCTCCTTTCTCATCTGACTATCTTCCTGAAGCAAGGCAAGACAGTGCGTAGGCTGCCAGGTCCAGGGAAGATTAAGGAAAATTAAGTAAAAATCTGGTTGAAGGCAAACTCTGTCCATTGCTCAAGTTATACAATTTATATAGTATATTCCCCCCCTTTTTTTGCGAGAGAGAGAGAGGATTGTTATACTGACATTTCATACTCGCTATATTGCACAAGACAATGGCACACTGGCAACAAGAAATGATAAGCCTTTTTCTGTTCATGTCCTGGAAGGCAGGACTGAAGATCTAAGCAGACCAGTTTGGGGGTGGGTGAGCAGTAGATAACTGGAGAAAGAGAAGCTTGCAAACCCTTCTTTCTTTAAATCACTGGGGGACCATGGGGTAAAGGCGTGTATGGAAGACGGGAAATCATTTCCCA